ATATGTATCGCAGGTGGCTGCAGGTAATGAATAGCCCCCAATGGTGAATATTCCAATTGTAAACTATGTGAACAAGAGCTGTGACATACTCACCAACACTATATCTGTGATTGCCCTATTATAAGTGACTTCAGACCAAATGGTATAAGGTACTTTGAACTCTGTAATTACTTCATACACTTAGGAATATTGGAAGATATTCTTATGCTGTACCCGGATTTTGCTAACGGAGGCTAATAGATCAGCCTTATATTTTATGTTCTCACCTGATTGTTACCTTGAGGTAGGCCCGTAAGTGGTAGTCCTCTTGAACCATTAACAGTATCAATAGATGATACTGGAGATCTGTGGAGGTGCGACTGGACCCTGCGTGACGGGAGATGTATCCCTTGTTTCTTGTGATTGATTGATGAGGATTAAGCCACCCAAAAGGTAGCACGGGCATGAATAGCCCGTAAGTGGTGTTCTTGTTAGTCACAGTTGATTTTTTTTATTGAGGCTGGTATTTTATCCCCTGATTCCATGTATAACTATCCATCCTGTGAGATGGGAATATTTAATGAACTTATAGCTAGTTTTTGATATACACTGTGTAATCTTTCATATAGAATAGGGTAGCAGCACATTACTGTGTATACCTAAGCTTGTTAATAATAACAAAAAAAAAGTTAGTTTCTATCGATAGGGAGAGCGATGGTTCAAAAATCCTTCTTTAAAATATGAATATCTTTCCTATCTCACTAAGATCTAATCTCTGTGATTAAAATGCAAAATTGACTTTGTCACTGCCTTTTTGATAACGTATACAATCATAAGCTTATTTGTGAATCTCTATTAAACAGTAAATCAGATAGCGTGTAAGGTACCGTGTTCCATGTCCGAAGAAACAGGGAGATTTTACATAAATACAGTACATGATAGTTTAAGTAGCGAACGCATACCAACAAATAACGATTAGTATCTATAACAAAAATATTGTTCTATGGAGTTGATTTAACTTCCAACCATGTATTTTTAAATAATCTTTAACGTTTTCTGGCTAGTTATGTTAGATTTGATTAAAAATACGCATTCTATTTGTTAATATCGTTAGATTTGATTAAAAATACGCATTCTACTTGTTAACATCATAAATTAAATTTGCGATAATTTGAGCAGAGAAGTGACCTCTTTGACATTGGTGACCCCAGAGAGTTTCGACGATACCCAGCCACGATGGACTACAACATGGACTCTCACTAGACCTCTACTGCTACTGTTTGCTGTGATGGAACACTGCCAGCACCCTCGCCACAGCTATGATTTTCATCTACTACGGCTTGCTGCTCCACGATCGTTACTCACTCATCTGACAGCCTCATCAATGATTACATCATGTTGGATCTACAGCTTGTCCTGCCGACTCTCCGTCGCTGCCAGGGCACTGCTTGTCCTACGCCCACGACAGCTGCTCTGTCATCAGATTCATCTACACGTTCACTGCATTTTGATACTTGGCCGACTCAAGCCCTTTGCGCAGTACAGGACTTACAGCTTGCGTTTCCGACACTTCGTCGCCTTCAGGACAATTCAGCTGTAGATGTGATTACCTCGTTGTCCTAACTACGTGCCTACATTACCTCCTAATGTCCTGGTGCCCGAGCCCATCCGCCCCGGATCTAAATGCTCCATCAGCGACCCAAGGACGCAACAATTATGCACATTCTTCTCTCCTGCTACACCGAGCTTGTCCACACACTGCCTACATCTTTTGGTACCAGACTACAATTTCCACAGTCAACAATGTAGTACTCGGCGTGTACAGTCCTAATCAACCCAAGACGCTACAGTTTCGACACAGAGCAGACAGCAGACTACGACCGCATCGAGCCGCCACGCTCTCGCTCCCCGAGTTCAGACACTCACAATTCTCAATCGAGCCGCCACGCTCTCCCACATAGAGCTCCACGACTCCGGCCTCACTCAGCTCTCTGCTCTGCTCCAGGCTTCGTCTCAAACGTCTGCGACACTGCTAAATCCAGAGACACATCCGCCGACTACGCAGTTCACTCTTCGACCACAGTTACCAGCAGCACCGCCACCTACGACAACGGACGATCCTGTACGACCTCCCACCCTACAACCCCAGTTACCAGCCGCACCACAACCTGATCCTACGACGACGGACGATCCTGTGCGACCTCCCACCCTACGACCCCAGTTAGATGACATCAGCGAAGAGGAGGAAGTTAACTTTGATGGTTATGCAACGCGAGCAGAGCGTACAATTCACCGACCAGCTAAGTTCCTTGATCAAGTATTTTTCCTTTCATCCCCTGGGAGAGGGAGTTCTGTAGCGAGTAGATTATCCCAATAATATACTCGCTCCAAATGCTTTGTTAATATTCCTGTCAACCTTTGGAGATGAATGAGGTGAGGCGTTGCCCGGGCATATAAGCAGCAGAATAGCAAACATTAACCAGAGTTTACTTTCAAGTGTGGTCTAGAGCAGACACTTGCAAGATACTGTACCAACGCTCAGTGCGCTCAACGCACACCAAATTATCACCTGTGTACTTCTGTATATTTCGACCAAATATATATATAGTATCTTAGTGTCTGTGTTTATTGTCACCATACTTTACGTAACAATAGAGCCGCACCACAAATCTTTAACGTTTTCTGGCTAGTTATGTTAGATTTGATTAAAAATACGCATTCTACTTGTTAATATCGTTAGATTTGATTAAAAATACGCATTCTACTTGTTAACATCATAAATTAAATTTGCGATAATTTGAGCAGAGAAGTTCGACGACTGGATCACTGTGTACAGAAGGTTGATATGCCAGCAAACACTTTCCAGAGAGCAATATATCTTGGATAAGTCGCTCCACGATATTGTTGCTTGGACCATCGACTTCCTTTGATATTACATATTTACATCTTATTTTGTAATGAAATGATATTTTTTCAGAGTAAAATTATGTTTTCTCATTTTCTGCATCCAGCATCCACATTATAGTGAGTAAATATACCACATTACTTCATTGCTTACGTAATGCTAGGAAGGTTTGAGTAGCTTTGGGTCTTTAGTGGACAGAATCTCCAATAGATGGGGCGAGAGTCGCCCCATCTCTCTCGACTGGGCGGGACTCGAAACTTAAATTAAAATTGCTATATCATTGGTCTCCAACATGATATATTTCCTTTGATGCACTCACAATAACGATTATAGCTCTGTCTTTCTGGAGGCATGTAATATTTTAGGCTTTATTAGCGTATCTTTGTTAATTACACAACATATTGGCAAGTGCGCAGGCGTCTGCACTCCGTGACCGAAAAGCTACTGAACGCCACTATAAAAACATATATCTTCACTTGAGCTTTAAATATGTCTAATGTAATGTATTTAAAATAAAGCTTATATTTCTATCTTTCTTAAGACGTGTAAAACATTTGTGTTTATTAACGAATTTACGTAAAATAAACATTCTTCTTTAACGATTCTTCGCGGCAGGGGATCGTATTCCAGGGACCATAGGATTAAGGACTTGCCCGAAACGCTATGCGTACTAGTGGCTGTACAAGAATGTAACAACTCTTGTATATATCTCAAAAAAAAAAAAAAAAAAAAAAAAAAAAAAAAAAAAAAAAAAAAAAAAAAAAAAAAAAAGAGTTGCTCTGTCGCTCAGTCTATGCGGGGGTCGGAGCTCGGCGATTATTAAAATACATGAATCTTCATTAGAACTTTAATTATGTCTATGATAAAGTGTTTAAAATGAGCCTTATATTCCTATCTTTCTTGAGGCATATAAAAAAATTACGATTATTTACAAATTTACGTGAAATAAGCATTGTTCTGAGAGAGAGTTGCTCCGTCGATCGATCTGTCCGGAGTCGGAGCTCGGCTATTATAAAAGTACACGTATCTTCGCTTTAAATTTAAATATGCCCATGGTAAGGTATTTAGAACGAAGCTTATATATCTGTCTTTCTTGTGACATATAAAACTCTTACGTTTATTAAGGAATCTGCGTGAAATAGGCATGGTTCTGAGATGAATGCTGCGGTTTTAGAGTTTGACGAGCGATGAAAACTGCCACTTTTATACAACTACAAATATCTTCGGTTTTACTTAAAATATTTGTCTGGTAGAGGTTTTACATATAGATCGCGTTTCTGTCTTTCTTCTGACTAATAAATAATTTTGGTTTAATCAGTTATCAAGATGTTTTCAACAATATTCTTTCAGCGTTCGTCTTTTCCAACTTGGGCGACCCTTTTGGAAGCGCGATACTTGGGTTAACCCATCCTATAGTTGGGTCTGTTTCCAACTGGGGTTCGAATATAACTACAGCACTAAGCGGTGAAGGCTGGCTGGTGTTGTTGTTGATGACGTCAGCTGATCGTTTCTGTTACTGTAAAGATTACGTTTTCTATGTTTACATTTTTCTTAGGACTTGAAATGCGTGTAATTTAGTTTGGTGTTGGGCACATTTACTTTCACCTAATTCCTCTTTTAATCTAATGTTTCCTTTCATCTAATGCTTCTGATCGCTTATACCTTCAAAGTATAGAAAATACCAATTATTCCCCTCAAACGTGTGTTTTAAACTTTGCCCCAGACAGCTTAGGGAAGACGTCGTGAAGGAACCTGAAGCATGCCGACTTGTTTTATAAGTCGGCACCCTTATCTCAGCCCACGATAAGGAGTCGGAAGCCTTCAGGACGTTTTCCCTAACCTCTCTCTGAGACAAAGGTCACAGCAAAATTTGAGGGAGATATTTGTCGTTTTCTATACTTTGGAGTCACAAGCAATAAAAATTAACACTTACAACCCAGGAAAAAAACAGTTTTTATTTTATTTTGTGATTTTTATTGCTTTTATTCCAGTTTTTTGTAGCAAACTAATTTCTGTCTCAGATTTGTTATTTTGTAGCAATTACTTAACTTCCGTAATTTATCTCATATAGAATACATAAAAAAATGTATTTTTGCAAAGGGAATAATTGAGTATACAGTATATTCGTAATTTTATTTATCACAAAAACCTACTTTTTTTTTTACAAAGACACTGCACCACATTTATAAAAAATAATCTACAGACACTAGCGACACAAGAGTGCGCCGAGAAGACTAAACCTATTGAAAGCACTGATGAGTTTGGACAGCTGCCTCGCCTGCCTACCTACCTACCGGAACTATGCACTCTTAAAGCAAGCAGCATTTTGATGTTGTTAATGGCTGTATGAAGGGTATTTCTTACATTTTATGAGAACAAAATGATACAATATGGAGTCCTATCGGTGTGATGGATTAACAGTGGTTCAAAAAGAGAGATCAATATAGCACCTTGAGTGAGCGTTACTAGGCTAATTTTTGTTCAACTACATATCTATACTCACCTTGATACCTACATTATAGTCTTCACACATTACCATGATTGTCATTGTCCTAAGTCACAAATCAAGCATGATTCACGTGACAACAACTTATCAGATGTTAATTAAAACCTTACTTTTCGATGCTTAGTTCCAAACTTTGTTTTTGACAAGGAAAGGCACGCTTACATTTGAGCACAAAAACACACTATACACCTGAACCCTGACGTATCACGATACTAACATGTAAAATAAATAATATTGAAATCATAATACTAATAATAAACATATACACTACGCGTACATAACAAATTTGTACTTTTGTACATATTACAGCAATTATACAAACCTAACATTGAAACTTTGAGCAGAGTTCGAGAGGTTTGTCTCGGCAAAACTTTTACATACAACACAAATTATTAACAAATGTTAATCAAATTTATTACATTATTAACACGACTCATTAATCCATTTAAAGCAGCAGCATAGTATACATCTAGTCCACTAAATTAAAAAAGAAGAAGTCAAAACACCAAAATTAACTTAATCCGATTAACATTCTCAAATTCCGCTCAGAAACATGTATTGTGGTCCATTGTTTTCCTGTTCCCAATTTGGGTCCAAATAATTAGAATCTACTCAAAGGCTGACTCATCATCACCTTCGGCCGGATGACATAGGACAAGTTTCATGTTGACCAAACAAATTTAAGGCCCATCCATCTGTTAATTAGAAGTTTGCACTCGTAACTGCTGGCCAACACCACGTCGGCCGATTTACAATTAGATTAAAAAAAATGTAAAAAGCAAGGTAGGAGAATATACCTTGTCAATCCATCAAGAAGCAGTCTTGGACCAGTCTTTGGTATTATTGGTTTCTCGCGGGAAAAAGCCAAGCTTTACTGAATACACCAATGTTTTTTCTCTCAAAAATTAATCTCAACAGCAACAAAGTGTTTTCTTGGTATTAAAATCAAGAACACAAATATGGTGGCCATTAGCTAGGTGATATAGTCTTCAACGCTTGAACCTAATACTGGCAATAAACAGTATTTCGATTATAAAAATATTGTACTAGAAAGTAAACTAAATAGCACCAATTCCCTGGGATATAACCAGAGTACTAAAAATAGGCTTTAAGGAAGCACAATTCACTTTCAAAATTATGTGCGTGTGTGTTATGTGCATATCATATGAAACCAAATAAATATATTATTACTAGAATGTTTGTTTTAATGCAATTATATGTTGCATCCACTAAAACTGTGTAATATCACTGCCCATGATATTCAGTACAACGTTTTGGACAGTTTTAAATGTACACAAATAAGTCTACATATGGTGAGCGAGCAGCACCGTACAATGTGATCAGTTAATAAGGTTATCAACTGTGTCCTAAACTGGAACAACATCGTACCAACAACTAATATCGGGCTACTGGTAGCGACCTGGAACTTGATCCCGCTTTCTGGAGCTGCAAGATAACTGTTCCAGAGTTACCCCGTCTTTCCTGTCTGATCATTATGAATCAGTTTGTGCTTCAAGTTCCTTGCTGTGTCGAGTACGATGTCATTTGAAGCTGTATTTGTTGCTGTTGCTGTGTATATAGTGGAGTCTGGTAGGATGTAATGGAAGCAGGAGAGGTGATGGTATACTGTGGAAGATGGGAGGCGGTGGCGCTACAATTAGCGACAGAGAAGACTGGGGCTTGACAGTAAGGTGGAGGTGGGGAAGCAAACCCAGGTGACGATCGCTCGTTACTACCAACCATCAACTGCTGCTGTGGCGTTGACGATGACTGCTGGCCGAACACCATCACCTCACACCCGTCGTTCCCTACCATAAGTTTTCTTTGCAGTTCGTGTTGCATTTGAGAATCTTCTCCGTACACGAGAATGTCATCATTTGTCAGCAGGTGTTGGTAGTTCAGTATATGCTGACCCAGGCGTCGAGATCCTCCTGCGAGAACTCCGGAACTAAGGTCTCCGGGAGACCTAGCGCCATCTGGGGCGTCTCCCCCGACGGTCGACGAGAGAGGACGTGGCAGCGGAGGCTGAAGCGAACCACATCCCCGGGGCCCGCACTGGGGGACGACACTGTCTGGGGGGAACACAACGATCTCACCAACCGTTCTAATTACCATATACACCCAAACAACGTTTTATAAGAAACGTTTTATATTTGAAAGTAAAGTAGTATTTACAAATCACGATGCTTCATTTATTGGTGTCATTTTATATATATATATAACTACCATAAGCAACAACATATTGTCATATACTGGCTAAGAGCTCTCTCTCTTTTTATAATTACTTAACAAATGGGCAATGTAATATAATTCAGCATGACATAGGCTAATGCAGAAAGTTCATAATGCCTTCTGCGTCAACTGGAAATTCTGCTTCAATAATGTCTATCTGAAGGTACATAATTAATTTGAGCATTGTTCACAATTTCTTTATTCTATAATAAATCACCGTCGCAGCATATATCAGATTCCCTAAAGGATGTCTGAAAAAGGTGTTTGAAAAACCTTAATGTCAAAACCCTAGGAATTGATGCAGGGACCAGTCGTTAGTCTTATTTGGTGTAATTTTCTGGGGTTGGGCATTATTACACTTTCTGGTCCATACTGCGGCGAGTGCTTGACGCAGGCTCCGCGTTGGGTGGTGGTCTGGAAGGTAATGGTGGGTGTGTGGGTGTGTGACTGGGTTGCATATCTCAGGATGAGTGAGTGGAGCCTCATCACCGTTCTGGAATGTTAAGTGTGTTGCAGAAAGGGGACTCATCGGCCTACTGGATGGGTGAGTAAATGGAGATTCACTACCGTACTGGAAGGCTAAGTGTGTGGGAGAAGGAAGACTCATCGGCCTACTGGATGGGTGAGTAAGTAGGGACTCACCACCGTACTGGAAGAGCAAATGTGTGGAAGAAGGACTCATCGGCCTACTGGATAGGTGAGTGAGGGAGGACTCACCGCCGTACTGGAGGGCATCATGGTCCATGAGAGGAGAATCCGTATCCAGAGGAATGCCAGTCACCAAACATCCAGGTGACGACCCACGGAAATCCTCATCAGGGGACCGCATCTGTCATAAGCAAATTTCAATAAATCACATTACTTGTAACATTATAATAATATACTAATACAACGTTATTACTTCAGTTCTTTATAATATAAAGAACAGTTTGTAGAGTAATGATCAAAAGAAGGCACCAAGCCAGGAAGACTATGTAGCACTGTAAGCGACAATTTGAGGAATATTATTGTTACTAACCTTTCTTTTGGCAAGCGCCTGTTCCTTGGCTGAGTGGTTCTTGACGTGTTTCCTAAGGGAGGACGGGTCCGTGTACCGCTTCTTACAGCCTGGCACTGAACACACGTACGGTTTCTGCAAAACACCATTTCCCACGATTATATTGCTGGTCAACATTGTTTGTGCATTGAAACCTAGCCCTTTCAACGAGGTACAGTCGAATTGTATTCAAGCGTTTCGCGCCAAAAGAATAAATACAACTGTATATACCTTTTCGATTAGGCTGCGAAAAGTTAGATTTGGGTTATGTCCGTTGGATTTTAATGCAACAACAACAATTCGTTGGCTAACCGCTTTATGTAGGAAATGACCTATATATTATATATATATATACTTAATGACGTGATAGAAATTTAATAGCATTTAAATGCCAAAACACTGACGCAATTTAAGACAGCTCGATAAAATTATAAAGACAAATAGGGGGGGGGGAATTGACAAACTACCGGCTTCCTGTCCTCCTAGAGACTACTAGAAATATAGAAGCCCTCAGGTAAATTCATGTAATGTATTGCAGCTAATCATTATTACTTGTACATATGCAATTTATGAGGATTAAGATAGTTAACCAGTACATTTTGTGAGAATATTCCTATACATATAGCTACATACAGAAAAAACATTCAAGCCGGAATTTCCAGATCTCTAAGTTTATAAATCATTACGTCAAATGACGTAATTTGATTTATAAATGACGTGAGAAATTCAAAACTGAATTTAGATGTTTCAGTTTATTAATAATAATATAGTCCATATTCAAGTTCAAGTATGTTTATTGAGATAAGAAAGAAATACATCTCAAAGGGATAAAGTAGCTTAGGCTATTTCTACCCCCCCCTCCATATTGAGTATTCTCAATTGAGACATATTAGGCTATACTTACTGCATCAACGTGGGTGCGCTGATGTTTAGCTCTGTCTGAGGAGTTGGAGAAGGCCTTCATACAGTGAGGGTAGACACAGATGTAGGGTCGCTCTCCAGTGTGACTTCTCAGGTGAATTTTCAAATTCTCCAGCCGAGAGAATGCCTTAGTGCAGCCTTTGAACTGAAAATAGAAAACAATAATTATTTACAACACATTAACGCCACTATACATGAATTTCACTGTACACAATGAGTGCTCTACACACATTAATTTTATTACACATTAACCTTTCTATACACATTAGCTTTACTATACACATTAATTGAACTATACACGTCACTGTAAATATTAACTTGACTACATCTATATTAAATACAACGATATATTTAATGCCATAAGTGTTTACTTATTTTCCTTATGGGAGTGGACAAGGTGTGTGTGTGTGTGTGTGTCAAACCGTGTCAATCAGTCTCCGTGGTGTAGTGGTAAGACACTCGCCTGGCGTTCCGCGAGCGCTATGTCATGGGTTCGTATCCTGGCCGGGGAGGATTTACTGGGCGCAATTCCTTAACTGTAGCCTCTGTTTAACGCAACAGTAAAATGTGTACTTGGATGAAAAAACGATTCTTCGCGGCAGGGGATCGTATTCCAGGGACAATAGGATTAAGGACTTGCCTGAAACGCTACGCGTACTAGTGGCTGTACAAGAATGTAACAACTCTTGTATATATCTCTCAAAAAAAAAAAAAAATAAAAACTGTTTATTTAATTTATATTCAATAGGCCTAATATAATCGTAACGCCAGAAGGAGTTTACAGCTCACTGCGAACAATCTGTCCTCTCCAATAATGCATTGCAGTTTGGCATTTTGACGTCAAAATCCCTCAACAGCCAAAATATGATGTACTGTATTATAAACCATAGTGGCTAGCCTCTCCCCCACCCAAAAAAAAAACCTTTTCTATGCTTGGGTCCATCGGTTGGGTTAGGTTTGGTCAATTTAGTACATCATTTTCTGGCCGTTGTGACAACTCGAGCGAAAAGGATGGCTGCTGACAACCCGTACTCTCGAATAGCACATCGTATTTTGACGTATAAATCCCCTAAGGCCAAAAACTCCTGAACTAAACATCATAGAAGCTAACAAAATTGACATGATGTCCCGTTTCCTATTCGTAAGTCCTCGGTTAGGTTAGGTTCGGGTAATTTAGTACATCACTTTAGTGACGTTGTGAACGCCCGATAAGACTGGCTGGGCTAGCTTAGGTTAGGCTGTATTACGCTCGGTTGGGTTAGGTTAATGTGTGTGTGTGTGAGAAATATATGTAGTAAGTATAGAGAAAAATACGTGTTAGGCAACCGACCGTTATAAAGGCGGGGTCCAAGAGCTCAATCCTGCAGTCACAAATAATAAACACACACACACATACACTCACACCAGTTGATTGACGGTTGAGAGGAGGCACCAAAGAGCCGAAGCTCAACCCCCGCAAGCACAACTGGATGAGGGAGTACACACACACATTGTCCCTAATTCCTCCCTGGCCACCCTCTTCGATCATTGAACACTTGGTATTGCCTTTCACCTTACCGCTCCTATCTGTACTGAACGCAGGTGTATCTGCGTCTATGCACTGGTTGACTATACGGAAGCCTCTCTCAACATTAAGAGAAGTGTAAGTGCAGCCGGCATCCCAGCACAAAGAGGACCCACTATGCAAAAACCTAATCGCAGGTAAAAACCTATTTGCTCGCACTCATTAAAAGACTATTGAATGATCACAGCGCTAGATGCTAAACTCTGCACGTATAAAATGTCAAAAAATCACACAAACTGTAGAGGTATATACACTAAAAGGAGCACCAAAACACACATACGCACGGACCCTCAAACCAAATCACTCAAGGTCTGTGTACACACACTCTGGGCTAAACATAATGGCCCTGAGCCACTTAACACGTCTCACACGTTTACTAAATAAAACCACAATAGAAGGTTGGCAGTGAGGCGGGTATTCCATGGCTGAAAGTGGCATCTTAGTGTTATTTAATGCTTGGCAGGAAGGGTTCCCTTTACCGAGAGGCAACTGTCTACCCGGCCCGACACGGAGCAGGTCGGTTGTACTGACCGACTACAATCTACGTTCTTCTTCAGACCCTCTACATGTTTCTACCTTCGTTTACATACCTCTAAACATTTCTTCTTTCTAGTTAAATCAGTATGGTCGAAATCCCAAGTATCGTGGTTTATTAAATTTATTTAGAAAACCTGAAACGGTCTATGCAAGCGGAGCTACTGTGTGAAGGCGAGCATCCGCCATGCTGGTTTTTTTTTTTTTTTACTCTTTTAATTTTTGTAACCAAATCTTAGCCGCGTTGTTGTTGGTGTCTGTCAAGATGTAATTGGCCTTTATTGTAAGGGAGATTTTGCGAGATAATAAGCCTGTACGACTAATTTTTTTTTTCGGGAGGTTATAAAAATTTTATATGAAGGCTAATATACGTAGCCCACGAAGAGGTTGATTTGAGTATTTCTGAAGACTTGTAATGGTATTGGGCTTAAGACCTGTCAATCTCTGGAGGGTTGTTAAAACCACTACTAAAGCTTACTGACCAACAACTAAGTAATTGAACTTTCAGTATATATAAACTGAGAAATGGGGTACACCTCTCAGTATATTTAACGACGTTTTAAAGTCCTTAATTACACCCTGGAAGGTCAGACAGATATGATTGATGCCTTTCATAACTGACCGCTATGCCGAACAAATTATTTTAATACTAATTAAACCATATATATTTAGAAATTACTGCGGCGCAAATTTTTCGAAAATTTGTAATTCATTAGAAATTTGAATGAGCCGAATTTTATTAGAGAGAAATGGACATAGAACAATTATTTATCTGCAGCGAATACAATATTATGACGGGGCCGTCTAGAAGAAATGTTAAACACCCCAACTTAAGCACCCACCCCAATAAGACTTAATTGAAATCCTCAGATTAGGCAAAATTGTAATTAATTTTGTCAATAAAGATGTTAATAATAATAATAATAATAATAATAATAATAATAATAATAATAATAACCCATTTTCCTCCTAAATATTCGACACCTTTGGATGCCGTTCTGAATCAGATTTTGTTAAAAACTTCTTTCTGTCTCGGCGCGACTCCTCCCACATTTTTAAACTTTGACCTAACAGCTTGAGCCAGTTCATTAATGACGTGTAGGGTAACCGCACCAAACATTACACTTTTTGCGCATGCGTCGAGCCATATGTGGCGGGAAATTTGAAACCATCCAGTCCTGACCGAAATGTTGAAGTTTTGATGTGGAAATTTTCGCTCATTTTTGTGCCTCATATACGAAGATATAACATTTCTGAAATGCATGTGAAAATAAGCAAACATTAACGCACAGCGCCCTTGTGCTGATCCCCTCTGTTGTTCTGCTACTAAAATCACTTTTAATGTTGTTTTGGTACCAATTATTTATAATGGTGATACGTCATTATATAATCAAACTGGGTAAACACGTACAAACGAGGTTATAGCTGTTCCTACGAGCGGGGTCGCTTTGTGAGGTGTCCACAGATCTCCTGGGCTTAAAACTTGCATGTAAAATGAGTTGAGAGGTGGGCTGTTGGAGCCAGAGATTGCGTAGCGAGGAGTGGAGGCGAGATTAAGGTTATGGTCCTGGGCGAAGCTTAAACACACACACACACACACACACACACACACACACACACACACACACACACACACACACACACACACACACACACACACACTCACACACACACACACACACACAAGGTCCTCGCGGACGAGCAGATAGGGCTCTTGGGCTGAGGCAGAAATACATGTGAAAGTTGCTTTCACCTGATTCATCTGTTCATCTAGCAGTAAATAGGTACGGCTGTCACTTAGACAGCTGTCACGTGCTGCACCTCCATGATACAGCTTGATTGAACAGGTGAACAGCAGTGTAAACGGTACAATTTTAAGACTCGAATAACATTTCTTACAAACTGAATGGTGATACAGTATATATATATATATATATATATATATATATATATATATATATATATATATATATATATATATATATATATATATATATATATATATATATATGATGTATTGGGTTAGGTTAGGCTGTATTGGGTTAGCTTAGGCTGTGTTGTGCTCTGGTGGGCTGGGTTGGGTTGGGTTGGGATTGGTTAGGTAGGTTTTAAAATCCGTTGGCGAATCGTCTTCTATACGATGGCGCTTGTATTACATTTTCCTATTCTATCCAGGAACATTATTCGTACCGTCAATGTGTTGCTAAGATACCATGTTTAGAGTAAATCACATTATGTCTTAATCAGGACGAGTGTATTTACAAATATTATTATCAAACTAACTGAACACCGAGGAATGTTTCAATGTATATAAACAATGACATCAGTACACAAAATTGTAACGTGCTTAGCCAAATGGATTTTTGGGTTTTTAGTTCGTGGATCTATTGTTGTGTGTTAACTGTTCTCATAACCATCCTACATGGGTATATGGTGTCCACTACCACTCTCGGACGAGTGTGGAGTCTATTACCACCCAAAGGATGGGAATGGGGGTTTATAATAAAGTACATATATAGGCCTACCATAAATAACTAAACAAAACGATAAAAAAGAAACCATCAAAGTATCACATATACCATTCAGAGCCCAATGACAAAGTTATACCCCCATAAAACCCCGTGTAGCGACGGTCACTCCTAACCCCTTCCCATCTCCCCAGAAAATAAAATTTACAATAAACACACAACAAAAAAAAATACAATAATCCGCTCAAGACCCTCAAACAGCCATGCAAGACTAACATTTTCCTAAGGTTACGTTATATAGTGTAGGATTTCGCGAAGGTTGGCCGGTATCCTTCGGTGAGGAGCTTGTAGATTATCCTGCCCCACCCACCCACACACACACACACACTCACATTGTCATCGCCCTCACCCGGTAGGATAACCCACCACCCAACTCATTCTGCCCAGCTTATAAATCACGTTTTTCTCCCCTTCTCATTCGCATCTGGTTTCACGAATTATGTCAGATTTTAGAGTTGTTTTTAGCGCGAGAGGAACTAGGCGTGGCTCACGGACGTGTCTGCCATGAATCTGACGCTA